CCTCGCCTGCATTCCTGGAGGATTGGGAAGCCCCCAAAGAAGAGGCTCCGGATGTAGGAATCGCTGCAACATTCGCAGCTGTGCTGTTTGCTGCTGGGTCTGTTGCAGCGGTTGGTGCATCCAGGGCTGGTGGGTTCTTGGAGTCCTGTGATTCACTGTGAATGTAATACTGATCTGAATTGTAGTGTTCATCTGAACTGTAAGCCAAGAAATCGATGGTACCATTAGGATATTCACCGGAATCGGAATACTCATCGGGATCGGAATACTCATCGGAATCATAGGATTCATCGGTGGAATCAGAGGAGTCCCTCAAAGCGGATGCACCTCTCGGGGGGTTGGGAGTGTGGTTCTGAGTGAGTGCAACACTGGCCGTATTTTTGTTGTTTTTGGTTTTGTTTTTGTTGTCGGTGTTGTCCTCCCCGGCTGGTAATCCCCGAGTGTTATTGGTCCCAGTGCAACTGGCGGCGTCCTCCTGTGTAATAGGGAAGTCGGATTCCTGTGTGGAGAGATAGAGGTGCCTGTCGATGGGGCCGTTGTTTTTGTTAGTTGCGGTCTTGTTGCCGGCGCTGTTGCTGGTACCGGTGTTCACGTTGTATTTGTTCTTGCATTGATGCATACAATTACAGTTGACACAGCCCTTCCGGGCCTGCAGGCAGCTGCACCCCCTTCTGTTGGTGGTGGGGAGGCGGATGCAGGTGCTGACCTTAGAGCACTGGCAACAAGGAGGTGATGGTTTGGTGTCGGAATCCTCCGTTACATGGTCCGCAGTCTTCGTATTGGAATAYGCCGTATCGACGGCCGCGGAATCATCATTCTTCGTATTGGAATACTCCGTGTCGACGTCCGCGGAATCATCGGCCGCGGTCGCATTGGGGGATTCCTTTACAGTAGCATCGGTCTTCTTATCGGAATATTCCGTATCGTTGTCGACCGAATAATGAGCTTCCTCATCAGTATACTCCTCTGGGAGTTCCTGTCCAGGGGCCCCTGGGGGGGGTCTGAAAGCAGTGGGATCGGCTCCTTCAGGGATGGGGCCCTTGAATCGTTGATGCGGAGGAATAGGAGAGGGGGGGGGGGGCTTGGTTGGCTGGAAGAAGGTTTCAATTCCACCGGTCGTCGGGTGCAATTTAGAGGTGTGTTTATTCTTGCATCTCTTGAAGCAAGAACAATTAACACAGCTCCTTCCTTGACCAAGACAGCTGCATCCAGCGGCCTTGCCTATGGGAAGTCGTTGGCAGGTGCTGAATTCAGTGCAATTACAGCAGGGGTTGAGCTTTTGCTTGTGCTTTTGCCTTTTCCTGCTGATTGCGATGTCGTCGCCGTCGAGTTTTCGCCCATTTTTGTTGGATTCCGACATTCTCACTGTGTAGGACCTGGTAGGATTTCTACACGGAGGAAAAACTCCAACAAATGGGCAAAATGACTCGTCGTCGGACCTGAGCTTC